CCAACAAGTGCTAAACACCTCTGGGAACTCCTTCAAGACTGTTGGAAAACCATTTCAGGTGACTACCTCTTGAAGCTCATGGAGAGAATGCCAAGAGTGTGCAAAGCAGTAATCAGAGCAAAGGGTGGCTATTTTGAAGAAACTAGAATATAAAACAGGTTTTCAGTTATTTCACCTTTTTTTTTTAAAGTACATAACTCCACGTGTTCATTCATAGTTTTGATGCCTTCAGTGAGAATCTACAATGTAAATAGTCATGAAAATAAAGAAAACGCATTGAATGAGAAGGTGTGTCCAAACTTTTGGCCTGTACTGTACATGTAGACCGTTCTTTTTTTCCCACTCATCTTTTTTATTGATTTGTCCACAGAATACAGTACATTCTCACGTAAAAACAGATCCCATCTAATCCATCATAACATTTCCAAATTCTTTGTTCAGCCGCATCTGCTGTATTTTCTCTTTGAAAGTCCTCAGTCAACGAATATTGAAACCAAAACTCCAGTAGCATGTTTCAAGTAAAGGTAAAAACTGGTTAGGTCTGAGTTCCTGAACAACCCACTCTCCTCCAGGATGTCACAAATAAGGGTATATAGAAATCAAGCACAGTTTTTAATAATTAAAATTGTCATGGTTGTGTTTCACCTTGTTCTTTGGTTTGTATTTTCTTTCCTCCCTTTTCTTCATTGCTTTTTGGAGTTGTTTCCCGGAAAATCTGAAGGATTTTCAGCAGAAAATACTTGACTTTTAACACATAATGAAAAACTCTGAGAACATAAATAAACAAGCCCAAGTTGTTCCTAGACAGCGTTATTGTCTATATTGTTGTCTTTTTGTTTTATAGTTTAATCATTTTTCCCAGTCTTTTTCAAATTCTACTTCAATCATCCGTATCCTGTATGTAAGATTCTCCATCAATTGAATATCGCCTATGATGGTCAGCCATTGTTTTGTGTTTTGGAGCGTCCGTCTTCATCCAGTTCTTTGTAATAGCTTTCTGTCCAGCAGCAAGTAGACCGTTCTTTTAACCATTTATGCACATGCTTTGTCTTTTCATATTTCCACAAGAGTCTAATATTCTTTTATTACTTATGTTCTGTTCTTTTGGATAACAACTGAATAGAAAAGCTTTGACTCCATATTTGTATTTGTATTGATAAACTCTCTTTCATCATATATTTCTGCGTATTACTTTTAATTATGTTACAGACATTGTTGCACACAGTAAAGTGTGGGTTCAAGGGTTTTGATAAAGCATACTGGCACCTTTAGACTTCTTTTATCATTTGCGTTTCTTTGAACTGTTGCAGCTTTAGGTTTGTAGTTGTCCTTATGTCAGGGTTGCAGATGGTGACCTACCTAATGAATAATGTCTTCCTCTAATCAGCTGAAAATGTGCTAATTAGTATCATTGATCCGGTGTAAAATCGCCTTTCTCACACATTTGTCCTTTGAATTCAGTCGGATCGAGATTTGAGATTTGATTCTCATTAACATTACGCCTCATGTCATGTGTCTTCATATAATGCTACCTCTGATGTTTGTCCAGGCGTACGTCCAAAAAGCCAAAGCTGATTTATAACTCCACAAGTTTGTCAATTCATAAGGGTCAATCCTGTGAGCTCCCCAACATATTTAACAGCACCTCATCTTTGCTGATGTCCTCCCGCACAAGTTTTATTGAGCTCTCTTACCATGACCCAGAGCTGACCAGAAGATGTATGACTCTTTTGACTTTATTCATTTTCCTCAGCCCCTCTATCCTGGGGATATAGAGAGGTTATTAGGAGGGAGGGAGCTCAGTCTTTCTACGTAGGCATATGTCATTTGTGATTTTCTTTGCATTTTCTCTCATCTTGCCATTTATCTGTTTTTGTGCCATCTATTTTTTTTTTCTTCAAAACATTCTCCCCATCCATCACAATTTTGTTTCTCAGGCATCATTCGTTCTCTTTTTTTCTCCTCCTTCCATTAGAGCGGTGGCTTTATCTGCGACTCGCTGAGTTATTCCTTGACTTTGGTATGATAATGCTCGTTGCAGGTCGCAGTTCACTCACCACGACCTCTGCCGCTTCACACCCTGTCTGTGGAGTTATTGCCCTCGCCCTCTGTGCGAAGGCGTGTTCATTTTTAATTATCACTCAGCATTTGATCATCTCCCTCCCCTGCCTGTCACAATGTCTCATCGGGTTGCTGGTAACATTTCCATTACATTAGGAAGAGCAGCCACGGCTGTGTATCGAGTGTGTGTGATACGTATGTGTGTTTGCGTGAATGTGCTCGATGGTGCGTTCCTATCATTGCGGCAGAGACGAGATTCCTCCCTCCCTCATCCATCTTCAAGCGCTTGGCTGGAAATGACATGTCGACACACAAGGAAACACATCGTTGCCCAAGACGCACAAACACACATGCACCCGCGCACACACACACAGGGAATAGAATTGGATTGGCGATGGAATTCTAATTAAATGGTTCACACATACCCCTCCCTGTACTTCTCCCCCAAATGGCATGCTAATTGAGTTGATGCAAATAGGGACTCACAGTCTTAAAGCTTCAAATTGCTTTGTTTGTTTTGTTTTTTTTGTTGTTGTACAAAATGTTGCACACAAAGAGCTCAGGTAGAGAGATCAAGAATGAAAAAAAGGACATCACAAATAAATCAATGGCTATGTTTTATGTCCAAAATATTCCGTTTTTTGCCCTTATTCCAAGAAAAAAAAACAATATTCCTACTAAGCTGTTTACATGGTTAATGAAAATGAATATTCCACTAACAATCTCGTGTTCATGTAGCGGTGCATACTCTGAGTAATGTCATTTATCACGTCAAAATATGGAAAAGTGGAACGACTGCCGCTTGTACCAGGATTTTTTCAACGTTTTCGACCAGTGGCAGACTTGTTGGTCCATACCAAAACAGCCTCCTTCTTTCATTGCTTCAACGACCTTATTGAAAAGGTTGGTGTTGAGATATTTGTGCAGATCCAAAAAACCTGTTAATATCCAAGTGTTCTGTAATGTTTTTAAAGTAGATGCGTTTCTCCTTCAGACCAAAAATGTAGGCTTTTCTTTTGTTCATACATCTCTACATATAAGACACTGGCCCAGAACAGACAGGAGTGGAGATCCTTTGTTGCTGCCCTACATGCCAGCCGGCATAAAGGGCAGTAAGAAAAAAAGAAGAAGAACACATCTCTACACCAGCATTGCAAGTAGGGCTCGGCGATATGGACAAAAATTAATCTCTCTATATTTACAGGCTGACTGGCGATACATGCTATATATCTCGGTATTTTCTACGAAATGGGCTGCATGTTTTCAGTTGCAAGCCAAAGCCACATTTGAGTTGTCACAAGCACTTTTATAAAACAGACTGTAATCAAAATAAAATGCAAAGAAAGGGATGTTTTCCTGTTTGAAAATATGCAGCTGCACAACATATAAATGAAAAATTACATAAAATAAATAGCACCTACATTAACGTTTTTACACATAGCACTGGAGCTACAGAGGTTTAAAGGTTTGCAGCACAGGACACAAAACTATAACATGAGTATAAAACTATCAAGTAGGTCTAAATCCATTGTAGTTTGGAGCAATTAAAAAATCTTTGTGGGCAGAGTTTAAAAAGTGTTTTTCCATCTGTTGGCCTTTCAAATGAATCTAGTGCTGGAAAATCATTTAGATATTTTCATGTATTAAGGCTGTTAATCTTATTTATGCATAGAACATCAATAGAGAGGCCGAGGGAGGGAAGCAGCGAGAGACTCTTTGTCTGCGTTACATACATCTTGTATATGAAATGTCTGTGTTGTCCCTGAGTTTTTTAAACAGAGTAGCAGCACCGTGTCTCTCTTAGTGTTGATGGAGAACCTGTGAGTAAATGAGTGGGGTGGAGATGTCCAGAGAGTGAAAGGAGAGATGCACAATGGTATGCGTTATGTAATGCAACTTGACCCTATATCGATATAAACAGTGTTGTCTTGATTCATAGCTTGCTTGAAAATATATCGATGTATCGTACATAGTCGTTACATCACCCAGCCCTCCTTGCAATCTATTGGCGAGTTGGTTTGTGTACAGTATATCTATGTTAAAGCACAGACTTGATCACAAACAGGCAAGATACCGTTTGTTGCAAACTACAGTAGAAAGCCAACTGAGACGCATATTCCTAACGTGCTGTATACATCAAAATAATGCCAGTATATCCCATGTCTTAATCGGAAAATTCTTCATTTAGAATAAGGCCTAATTCAGAATATGCTATTTTCATGGCTATCAAATGCAGAATACTGTCATATTCGGAATAATATTGGAATTTTAATGTGCATGGAAATGTACTGAATGTAAAAAGAATTGGAAACAACTGTTGAAGTAAGAGAGGAGCAGAAAGGGTGAGCCTGCATTGGGAAAACTGTGGAATCTTTTCTGTCTTTTCATTGTGGAGGGTTTAACTTTGCTTGGGTATGTGCATCTACACACGTTGTTTGCGAGCACATATTTCAATAAGCACCTAAGCTCACTGCAGTAGTATTATTAAGGAAGGCCCCTCACCTCCCATAAAGTTCCCAGAGCATTCTCAATCCTGGAGGCCATTGGCAAGAAGGTTGGAAATAGTGAGTGCCTCTTTAGCTCAGCAGGGTTTGAATCGATAAATCTGTCATTGTTTATTTTACAAAACTTCCAGGCTTCACCTCTGGCGCTCCCACAGTCGGAGGCTGAACACTCAAGCTGTTCATGTCTGCTCGCTTGATGTAGGATTGTTGGCCGATTGCCGTGAGGTGAATAGATATTGTCCTCAATAAACCATGAGCAGTATATGACCAAGTTGTGTATGTGGCCAATTTTTTTCTAGAGGTTATTTCATGGACTGTGCGGCATTGGCAACCCGAAAACGACCCTTGCGGTTCACTGTCACAGCAGGAGAGGCGATTTGCTTCCAGAACATGTTAACCCGACCTGATCTCTTTTTCTTTTCTCTCGCCCTTTAGGTGTTGGCTTTAGAAAGACAGGTCTTTGACTTCCTGGGTTACCAATGGGCCCCTATTCTCGCCAACTTCTTCCACATCATCATCGTCATCCTCGGCCTCTTTGGCACCATCCAGTACCGGCCGCGCTACATTGTGGTGGTGAGTATGTATATCTAAAGAGTAGTAGCTCATGTTAAACACTGTACAGCCTGCCACATAATCCCATTCCTCACGGTTTTTGTTAAGCAGTGTCACTTCACTGTGCATTAGTCCTCTGCCTGCATTTGATTGGACATGTTGTTGCCTTTTCTCTTTAATTGCGAAGTGTGCTGCACTCTCTTGAGCATTGTGCAACACCCTTAAATCACTCTAATCCCATGGTAATTAGGGCTAATTAAAGGAGGGGGTGGGTGTGTTGGGGGGTACTAAGGAGCTCATCAGATTTATACTCAGCGTCGAGTTTCTGGACAGAGAAGGTCATTCTTTGAAACACAGTGCAAAGCATGTGCTGCCTGTTATTTTACTCCTTTTGTTAGAGAGTGCCACTATGAAGCTCCATAAATGTGCTTTTATGCACTTCAGTTTATATTTTAAACCGTAACGTTCATCGCAGGCATTAAAAGCGTATTTTCGGCAGCATTAGTGGGAGCACAGATGGTGATGTTAATGACAGGAAAAGAGATACGAGGAAAAGAGAGTAAATAAAGAGAGACGGGGGAGATGTAGAAGGATCAATGAGAGCCACACAGGAAAAGACAAAGAAAAGGAGGAAGCGGGAATCGAAGGGAGGACAGGAAGGAGGGAAAGTGGAGCTATTGTCTCATGTCAAGTGGAAAATGGGAGAGAGCAAGCTAAGGGGTTTCATGATTCAACGTGTATGTTTTTACCAAGGTGCTGCTCTTGCCCTCCACTCTTCCTCTGACACCTCTGACATTTTAAGCACACGATTTACTGTGAGTCAGAGGATTTCACAACCGTCACAATGATGACTCTCTTTCTCTGTCAGTGAATACCACTCTGTGTCTGTCAACAGTTGGCTGTCTGACTGTACAATTTTATAAGTCCTGAACTTCATTCAGCCTCAGCAGTTAAAAAGCGTGTATCTCCCTCAGGGCTCAAATAAACCTGCTGAACTTACTGGCACCTTTAAAAAAACATTTACTTGTGTGTTAGGTTGAGTACCAAACTCTGTGCTCTTATGGGAACTGACCGCATTTTGTAGGTACTGCCGAGCACTGATTCACGTCAAATCCATCTGTGCCAAATTTTTGTACCTGAGAGCGCCAGGTTTAGACAAGAGGTGGAAATGCCGCAAAGCCTGGAAGCCAGCCACGGAGCTCCAAGGCTGGGAACGAAGCTTCGCGGAGCTGGCGGGTTCAACTTTAGACAGGAGGCAGAAGCGCCCTGAAGCACAAAGAGCTCCACGGCCACTCCGTCAGCTTTCCAGTGAGCCAAAACTATTGTGGCAGCGCCAGTCTGCCGCAATAGTTTTGGCGTCTGGTTTATTTTCTTTTCTTTATTATTTTAATAATAGCTTAATATCCCTGCTAGACAAGCAGACACACATGTACACACAAGCAGACAGAGACAGACGATTAACTCTATCTGTGATTAGAAACAGAGCACAGGAGCAGAATTGTTTATTAGGCTACCATGTCACCTCTGCAGCTTGTTGAAAAATTAGATTTTCGTTAATACAGAGGAAGTAGAGTACTGGAAATAGGTATCATTGCCATTGGTATCTGTTAAAATGTGAATGGTGCCCAATACAATTTCTGTGCATAGTGTTTCGATGTGTAGAGCATGGTGTGTGTGTTGACGCATGTGTATGTGAGAATGTGTGTGTATGGGAGGACACTGTCCACTGACTTGACTTTGTTTAGGATCTCATTAACTCAATCTGCCATTTTATTCAGTGGCTGTCACGTCCTGCTCTGTTCAGTTCATCTCGTTTCCATGGAGCCAATCTGTCTGTGTCTTTGCCCTCTCCAGTATACAGTATGGGCCGCTCTGTGGGTGGCCTGGAACGTCTTCATCATCTGTTTCTACCTGGACGTAGGAGGCCTGTCCAAGGTGAGACTTTCTAATTTTTTAAGTCTGCTGTTTTCTCCGAATCTTTCATTGTGCATCTGTCAGCTAAAGGCGGGTGGCTTTGTGTGTTCTGTGATAAATGTTCTTTTCTTTCTGAGGTCACGGTTGCAGGCTGGTGGGATAGACACTGTAGGTGTCTTTTAGACATGTTCGTCATAGCCGATGGATACTTATGCCATGGCTGCGTAAAGTGCTTCTTTCTGTTAAAAACCTTAAGACTTATCCATGCAGAATTAAACAAGCTGCCATTACTGGAGTGGATTACTTCTACATTCATTCATCAAGTGTGATCAGTAAAAAGTCGGAAGACAGATGCTGCTATGATAAACTGAAAGTGTCTGCTCCGTAAAGCAGCAGAAGTAGAGTCACAGCACATAGCTTTGCCAGATGCAAGCCAGGACTTTATGCACAAGGCAGCATTCACTGACCTGCGCTACAGGGGTGACTATGACCTGACTGTAGAGGAGACCAAGAGGATGATAGAGGAATAAGCAGTCATCCTCATGCAGAGAGTGCAACCTCAGCACTTGAGAGAAGAGGAGATAAAGATGAGGAGGCAGCTGCTGAGTCTGAGCCTCAGCCCACAAAAAAAAGTTTAGCACGTTTATTAAAAAGAAAAGCAGCCACACCAAATGTTGTCCCGGTTTGTTCAAAGTAGGAGGAATATCTTAAGATTCAAAGTTAAAGATCAGAGTAAGCACTCTACAAATATATCGATAAACACCTTTTATTGCAAAAATTTTCAGTGTAATCGGTTACACTGGTGTTAATTAACTTTATTAACTGGTGGGAACATGTCCTAACCGCTGATGGTGATCGCCCCAAACATCTCTGCTTCCACTGTCAGTGAAAATGTGTTCAGTTTGGCTTCACCACTACAGTAATGGCAGCGGTGCTAAAGAGCACAACACATAAATCACCCAGCAGATTAGACTATAACAGTACAGTTTTACCACTCTCATAAATCAGTGAACATCATAAAAGTAATAAGTCCATATCCATAGCAACAATACTTACTGTAGTTGCTACTTGCCAACAGCTGAGCTAATTCTTACAGGTAAAACAGCTTACCAGGGGTTAAACTGACTACAAGCAAACAGGTGAGGGCAGTGTCTATACCCTCGGGGAGAACCACACAACAAAGCGCTCTTGTCTTTACCAAGAAAAAGCCTGTGGGGTTTTTTTTTTCTCCTGAAAATGATTCAGCTGTAATTCTGACCTTGTGCCAATGTGTTTTATCACACCAAGCTTGGCTGTTCCAATAAGAATTGTTGTTACTAAATATAAAATATTAATTAAAATGCTTCCTTTAGCTTAATCGGCATATATATTTTAAGCTACAGTTAGATATGATGCACTGCCACCAGGTGCTTTTGCCTGTGTCAAGCCTGAACGTCTTGGTGTGATTAACAAATGCAGCCCAAGTAAATGTGATTACTTGTGGTATATAATGAACGCATGACACAGCCATCTAGTATGAATCCTTCACCTAACTATAAATCACTCCCTACGCTTTAGCAATCTGCGCCATACACACCCACGGCTGCTCAACGGAGATGTATAATTTGGCCTTGAAGAATGTCTGTGTTCCTTTAAATTGTTTGTGTGGTGTTTCTACTGACAGCGGGACAGTCACCTCCCCTGGTGAGTTTCAAGTGGAAGCTCGCAGTTTAATAGGTAAATAATCTGGAAAAATCTCTCCCCCCAAAGCCAGCACGCACATAGACTCTTTTAAATCTCTGGGGCACCCCTGTGGTTCCTGAGTGCAGATTAGATGCGAATTTATTCAGACAAAGAGAAGTGTTGGGTGGTCACCTCTCAACCTGTAAATGCATCCACCCTCCCTCCTCCTGACATCTTGTCTTCTCCTTTTTTCACCACTCGCCTCACTGCTCCTTTGATCTTTTTTAATTTATTCTGCATATTTTCCAAGTTCCATATCTTGCCTTTTTCATTTCAGTGTATTCCTCTCTCTCCTCTCCTCTCCGCCTCCCTCCTGTCCTCTCCGAGCTATTGATGGGTATCTTGCCCAATTGCCCGCCTGACCATTGAGAATAATGAATTCATGTAGGCAACGTTCATCTCGCACCAGTTCAGTCAGCCAAAATGAATTTCAGAAACACCTTCCCAAGCTCTGGCGACTTTGTCATTGTGTGATAGACCATGGCTCCATCGAGTGTGTCTGTCTCTCACCACACATGTCTATGTGTGTCTGCTACGTGTGTTTGTTGTGTGTTTTCCTGCATGGTTCCTGCTAGAATAATGAGGCTTGTAGGGGCCAGCTGCTTGGGGCTGAGGCTAGGCATTAACCCGACAGATGGAGCCAGCCTGGGCTTCCAGCTCTGCATATGGTGTCCAGGAGGAGAGCTGGCTAATGGAGCGCGCACACACACACACACCCTCACACACCCACACACACTATCACCCCATGCACACTTACACGACCAAACTTGGCACGCAACTCTCTGAGAGGTCCCCAACATATTTTATTATAAAATCGAGTCAGCTAATTCTGTTCAGCTAGCCTTGACTGATGTTGATGGGACTGTTCTGGAGGGTGTGTTTATATATGTGTGTGAGTGGTGTGTGTATTCGTGACAAGGCCCTCAAGAGTGAGGGGGCAGGTTGTCAGAGTCATATGCCACATGCTCTGTCACCTCTTATTGATCCCTTATCCCCTCCCCCATGGTGCAGGACAGACTGAGAGACAGACCCCCGCTACTCTACACACACCTCTGTTTTAAACCCTCCGTGGTCATTCGCCACGTGTCCTTTTATTCATTCTCTCCCACACTGCACACAGTGACCTCAGACACAGAGACTTTGAACATGTCCGCACTAAGCTGTCTGAATTTGAAAATGCTTCTTTCACACTCCTTCACTGAGCGTTTCAAAATGTTTTCCAGTAAATAAAAATGCTAATTTTTTAAACTCTGATTCTAACAAACCACTAATAAAATCATTTCCTCTTATCTTATAGCAGCAAAGATCTATAAACTAAACATGTAGTCAATTAACTAAAAAGCAAACTTGTTATCTGTCTGGCAGGAATTGATTTTTATATGTTCAGCTTTTGAGCCAAGCTTGCCAGACTGTCAATTCATTACTTTGGTCCAAACAACTATTAGACGGACCTACAGATGGCTGTAGACTATGTATCAGTATAACTTCTGTTATCCATGATTGATTAAAGCCCAAACTAAATTGATCTGATCAGATATGAAAGGATTCACAATCAGTTTGTCTTGATTAAATACTTTAAAACCCCAGTGCTGCTCCTGAGTGATGAAATATCTGTCTATTGTGGATTCATTGCATATGCCTGCACTGCCTCTATCTCTGTGATTGATCACATAGATTGCCAATAGAGTGGATTACACGATACAGTTATCAATAACATGTATTGATGTTTACTTTGTCAGACAATTTTGTGAGAAGGGATCTGAAAAAACGAGCCAGAATCAGATAAAATCAAATCTCAGTTTTATGCCTGATTGTTGTCCGATACCAGAAACAGAAAATGATGTGTATGTGTGCAACTAATTTGTGTTTTTACCTACATACACTCTTAACAAAAATGGTACTCTCCAATACCCAAAAGTGGTTCTTTGGCTTATAGGGGAACCTGTTTTGGTGCTGTGTGAAACCCATCCTTTGAAAGTGCTTAACAGTGATCCTGGGGTCTGAATGATGCCAGATAATACCATGGACGTGTCAATATGCTTCTAAATGACACTTTAAAATATGAATGATTGTTAATCATTTTTTACAAATGCTTACTGAGAAACATAATATGTTACCTTTTCAAACCTGGAATACTAAACCCTGTTTCCACCAAACACTTTCAGTATGGTACCTTTGGAACCAAAATTAACCCTTCAGACATGGTACCTAGACCCTAGCGTTTCCACCACAAACAGTTCTCTTAAATGTGGGCGAGGTTGTTGTCACTCACTGCTCCGTCCAGCACTCACGGTATTTCCTCATCACCGGTGACACAGAGGGAAGTCAGCACCTACTCTATCGTTTATAAGACAGGCTGCTGTGAGAGTCTCTCTCCATGGGATATTTAAAAATAGCGGCTCTGTGCATTTAGTCCTTCTCAGGCAAGCTCAGGGGTTTAGTGTTGCCAGAGCACTTTTCTCAGACTACAGCTGCTGAGAATGGCAGCAAAACATCCTTTCATTTTATAGTTACAGTCTACTAATAAAACTCTCCACGGTATGAACAGTGATTACATGAGCCTCAAAACCAGCCACAACTCAGCCCTGAGCAGAGTGACTGCTATTGACTAATGAACACACTGCTGCTCCACCTTTAAGTAGCAGATCTGTTTGCTAGGTACCCCAAGAGAGAGGGGACCAAAACTGGGAACGGTATGGAATGTTTCCATTGGTACCATCCACAACTTTTCACAGTGGAAACGGGAGAAAAGTGTATCGAACTGAAATGTACCGTACAGTGCTGCTCGGTGGAAACAAGGCTTTTGTTTTATTGTTGACACAGACTGTTTTCTCATACAGACTCTGGACAGTGTCGGGAGAGTCGCGTCCAGGCATTGTACAAAGTTTCCCTCCCCTACATGTAGCACACAATAGGAGATTGTGTGTGTCAGACTAATTCGTTTGGTTAGGGCGATGAGTGGTCCCTGGATAGAGTATGCAGAAGGCAGGACATGACGTAAAAAGGACACTGCAGAAATTTTAGTGTTTTGTTTACATAGCTGGTTTGTAATTTGGTCAGGAACAACAGAGTCTCTTGCCATTCTTTGAATTTTCTAATGATTGCAGCGTCAGCCTGACAGAAGTTCTCAAGCCTTGTCTCTCTCATCTCTCTGGTTAGGCAGTTTTGTCGCCATCTTTATGTAAATGGCCCCAATGACCTGCTCTGTTCACACATGGGCTCAATGGGACATTATACTGGCTTTGTACTAGGGAGCTGGCAGGGTAGAGTCTGTTTAATGTCCAGTCCAACTGATTTGGACATTTGCTGTCTCACATACAGCTCCTCTCGGTAATGTCTAGATGAATTCAGGGTTGCAGCGCATGTGTTAAAGAGGCTTTAGAGAGGAAGAGAAAAAAGAAATGTAGCTGTTTGGCATTTTTAAAAAACAACCTAAAAACAATAACATGAATACAGGATGTATTCATATGTACATTTTCAGATTCATCTACCTGAGTGTGGATGTAGTCCCCACCTTTCCTCTCTCTCTCTCTCTCAATTCTCACACAGTGACTGCAGACTTCATTTTAGACGTGCACGTCACCCTACCTCCTGAATCAATATGCAGCCACAGTGCATGCACACCTTTATGAAATCTAAGTAAATATGAGACTCTCATCAGAAGAGTCTACAACAGCCAGTTAGCCACTTGGGTTCGCTCCCAAATGTGATCACGCTAACATAAACTCTCTTCCCTGTATTTCAGAAACAATAAATCATGAAAAATAAGATTCTAATCATTTGATGTTTAGCTTTATAGAAAGCCTCGTGTCTCGAGTGATTCCAGTAATAGGATTGTCTCCAAATATCTATCGACTTTTGTTAAAGAAAATAGTTTGAGCAGTATCAGTAGACTAACCTTGAATCTATGATATGGAGGCATTGATTTGTGCTTTGGGGTGCATGGGAGCATAACAACGCTCCTGACAGTAAGTTGCCAAAAGCCTCAATATCGAATTCTCACGTACTGCAGTCATGAGTGAGGCTACAGCTTGGATAGAGATGGTTTCCCTAGCTTGCAGTCTCAATCAATGGCATCTGTCAAGTCATTAGTCTTCAGAATCCTACCTATTGACCTCCAGCCGCCCTTGTTTTTGCGACTGTGTGAGAGAACGACAGAATGATGGAGAAGGAAAATAGAGACAGAGGGTGATGATGAGTAATCAACGTGAGGAAAGAGAGGGATAATACAGTAGCATCATTTTAATATTGTTCATGACTCCTGTTGCAGTCGTTTCCACTGACTGCACAGATCTGTTGTTGACAGAAAGTTGATACCAGTGATACACATGTGTCATCAATGTGTACATGTAAGTGTGAGTGGGAGTTGATAGGAATCAGAGATGTTTCCTGACAGCACTTGCTTGGCTGTTAATAATGCATGTCTTGTCACTGAGGGGCAGATGCAGGGTCAGATTGCTGTATTGGGGTATTGATTGGTGTGAGCGTCTGTACATCTGTACACGTGGGCTCATGTGGCTGTGTGCAAATTGAACATCGCCAGGGTGTACAAGAGCTACGTGTATAAAATCCTGGATCTAAAAGTTGTGGCACTGATGTGGTACAGCTTAAGGAGTTGTGAAACTTTGCTCTGGAACGCAAAGTCTGTCTGCTTAGTCTGACTAAAGTTCATGTACTTGTAACCAGTGACTCATGGGCTTTAAAAATGTCAAGTACTGTCAGTCTTCGGTTTCACATATTAAAAGTCTGGTTCACACAAATTCTGAAAAAAATATTAGATTCGCACACCTTCAGTGGTTGCCCTGGTTCTCTGTCTCTGACTTCTGCCTCCATCCCAATACAGTGCAGGTGAAGAGAGTTTTCCCCAGTCGTGCTCACAGCACCGAAAAACAAAACTCCATTTATAAGTATTCAACTGCAACATCTTCCTGAAACAATGTCCCTGTTACAGTGGATAAGCCACAAACACACTGTCAACAGTTTTCAGAGGGATTATTTATTCACTGGGAAGTAGTTCCAAAGAAAACTGTTGACTGTGACGTCTGTGGATTATCCTCACAAGCAGACACATTGTTCCTGGAAAGACACAATGCTGGTTTGAATTTAATGTAATTTTTGAAAGATTTAAGCTACACAAACAGGATTCCCTTCACCTTGGTTGTATGGGGTTGACAGCAGAAGTTGTAAAGACGATTATCTGGAAGAGTTGTCCTATAAAATCCAGCTTGTTGTGAATAAGAAAATGCGTTTTATCCATGCTAGCACCATGTCATGGACTGGTGGCAATATTTGTAGGTCCACTACTTTGATGCAACTGAGAAATATCTCAACAACTATTGGATGGATTGCCAGGAAATTTGGTATGGACATTTACAGGCTCAACCGATGAATTATGACAACTTTTCCGCCAACAGGTCAAAATATCAGTTTGTCCAACACTTGGTTTATGACCAAATACCTGCAAGGTTAATGACACTCCTACCAGCATGAGCTATACTTTAAGTTTAGTACTACTTGGCACAATGTTAGCATGCTAACATGCAAAAGTAAGATAGCGAACATGATAAACATCATGCCTGCTTGGCATTAGCATGTTAACATTGTCACTGTTAGCATGTTAAAATGCTGACGTTAGCATTTAGCTCAAAGTGTCACTGTGCCTAAGTGCAGCCTTGAGTTGCTAGCATGGCTGTAGACTCTTAGGGCCCTATTTAAATTATCTTTAGCACATGGTCTAAAGTGCATGGGACAAGTGCATTTTGGCATGTCCACTTTTGCTTGTTAAACAGCACATAATCTGGGCACAAGGGGCCAAAGGGTCGTATTCATTCCTTTAATTAATCATGGGTGTGTTTTGGGTCTATCATGAATTCAAACAGAGCGTCATCTCCAGTTCCCTTTAAAAGCCAGGTGTGCCTGCACTTTTTACACTGTGGGTGTGTGAGCGGTTTTCTGCTGAGGAAACGGATCTGCTCATGTGCAAAGTAAAAGCCCGTGGGTAGACATGGGAGCAGCAGGAATCCACCAAGGCTCCCTCAGGTGGAGCAGGCATGGGAGGAGGCAGCGTTAAGCATGTCCTCGGCTTCCTGTGTCACCACAACGGCCACACAGTGCTGAAAGTAATTAAATTATGTCAGGAAACAGGGAAAACAAAAGCTCGCTGCTCACCAAAAACATCAAGCAGTGTGTGTAAAAACAAAATGTATGCATCTGGTGAACCCACCTATGTAGGCATGTCTTACTTTCTGAATAATGCGCCTTTTAAATAGCAGGAAAATACTGTGCCAGGTTTTTGTTGGTCAATGGCGCAATTGCTTTCTGCTGCCTCAAAATAGCAATGGGTCAACAATGGGCCTGAGCACACCTCACCCGAAGACCTACATGCCCATGGGCGCACAGATGCCCACAAGTGCATTTGCTGCTTACACAATGTGGGCCCTGGCCGTGAAAATGACAGCTGCGTCAGTCTGAAGCAAGCAATGACAGTTGAACTACTCTGTGTACCGCTTTGCGCCAGTGGTAAGATAGGGTGCTTGGTTGTAATTGGATGAACCAATCCTTGCAGCAAAAGAGAACAGCTATGAAAAACATCCAGCATTTGTCACAAGTATCCAGAGATGAGCTCCCTGCCTCTTGTCCAACATCACCTGTGATCCATCCTTGTGTTTCCTCATAAAGAATGAATGAATGTACATCATAACTAATGAAAAGAGTCCAAGCAAAGAAGTTATATTTTTTATTTCACTTCTTTCAGGACAGTGACCTGCTGACATTTAACATCTCTGCCCATCACTCTTGGTGGAGTGAACACGGGCCCGGCTGCGTGAGGAGAGAGATGCCGCAGGCTCCAGGGGTCCGCACCACAGAGAGCCACTCCTACATCACTGTCATGGGCTGCCTCATGGACTACCAGTACATTGAGGTCGTGCATAGCGGCACGCAGATTCTTGTCGCTGTAAGTACAAGTTGGCAGTGTGACTCTCGCAGTGACATGTTCACATGTAGATCCATACATGTGTGGACATGTCACACAGGAACTCATCACATTACATACTTAACACCAGCAGCCGTGGGATTCATGTATGTAAGAGGTGAACGTGATAGAAAGGAAGGTGATGTTTTTGTTTTCCCCTTAAGCACTTTTCTCAATATACTTCCATAGCGGTCTGTTATTTTGTCTCCTGCAGCCTCCCTTCCTCTGCCCCGGTCACTGAATGAAAAATTGATCTGTTGTTTTGTCTGGCTGAGGCTAAGACCTGCCAGCTGCGAACAGGTTACTCAAACACTGGAAGGACTGCTATTGTCCTCTTTATACAGCGCTGTATGAATACACCCCAAACTCACATCCTGCCAGCACACACATTTGCACACACTCATGTATGACTGGCTAAACCTCATATTGGACGGGGGCCAGGGTGTTCTTAGTTGCCAGCACAGCAGGTACTTGGGTTCAGACATGCATATTACACACATTTACTCACAGCAGCATTCACTAACACGCACTTTGACTCCACTGCATTGTACATAAACACATCCACACCTGTTATTCACACTCATTGTCGCTTTTATACATGTGGAGTGGATTTAATGGTGGCAGCAGGTGGCCGAGACAAAGAGACGGCTAACACGCAGCAGCCTCATCAGCCTTCAGTGGATTTCAGAGTCATTCTTACCAACTAATCTTGATCATCTTAATTTACACCTGGGAAAACAGTGAAGGCAGTTAACTGCATGGTAGATTAGAAAACTAGCAGAGGGACCCAGTGTTGAGAAGCCCTGGATTGCACCATTCATCCCATCACCTCTATGGAGAAAGGTAATAAAACGGCTGACCTCACTTTATAGCTCCAACTCTCTCACTGAACCTCATTAGCCCCTGCACTATAGGCAGTGAATTGGTTTATTCCTCGCCTCACATGGACTTTTACTCCTCCATGGGAGATCGCAACACTTTTTACGCCTGCGTTTTTGCATGGTATTGTCCAACCAAGCATGCATCACCATCTCCGTGGGAACAGCTCCCGAGAGGAGCAGGGAAATTGGTACTGAAATCCCAGTGTCACAAATGGCATCATTTTCCTCGTGCCCTCACTTTCTCTCAGGCTAAAAGCAGAGCACTGCTTAGGTGCTTAGGAAAATGGACTCCTTTGAGATGTCCACCCTTGTTTTGGTTTGTCTTTTTTCCTCTCTGGTGGGCCAGACAGAAAGAGACAGTTGAAGGAGTGAATGAAATGAGTAGGAAGAAAGTGGGGTGTCCCTTTGTCTTTGTTAGAGGGGTTTCAAGGTCGCCGTGAGAGGCCATTAAATATTTAGTTTGGGCTCCAAGGAGTATGTTTCATTAGGATGACAAATGTGGATCCATTGGCCGGTAATGGAGGCATCACTGTCATCTCTCTGCACATATTCATCATGAGCTATAAGAAAGCCGTTCAGACCTGAAGCTTTGGTAAAGTCAGCCCTGTGTTGTCGTTCATTGCCGCTACAGGCTATGTTTAGTCAGAAAATAACTTTAAAGGTTTAAAGGATGAGCTTGAAGTGGAGGCAACCTTTTCAAACTGGAGTAATGTATTATTCATCGATTCATCACTAAGGGGAATATTTTGCTTCATCCCTGCCCTTATATTCTTTGTTGCCTTCACTGAAACCCAACTCACCCACCCATCCTGCGGTATGTATTGTTATTGAATGGCTTTGGTTTTCTTTTCCTGTCATAATAATGACTGATTTCCCTGTCAGTCAGTGTAGTCAGCAGAAAATCCACACACACACCTCTTTCTATCCTCCCATCTTCTTTTGCTCCTGTGCACCACCTTCACTGTTAAATAAAACAGTGGAGTCTGAGAAAACATCTCCAGTGAGATGGAAGGTAGTTAGGAAGAAAGGTGTGTGAGAGAGGAAGAAGAAAAATTGTGCAGGATGTGATGTTCAGTTTACATCTGTAGACATAACTCTTACACACCAAAGGGGGTAGTGAGAGATGTCAAGGGGTTGTCAGAGCTGCTGAGCTACTCATAAAATGCATACACACATGCACATACACACACACAGATATATCATTTAGCATAGGTTATTGCTGCCACAGGCAATGCTTTCTTCTTTTGCCTCTTTATTCCCTGGAAACCTGTGTTGGGAGGGTGGTGTTGAAGTTGATAATGGGAGGAACGGCAACCTGCGTCATTCTCTAATTCCATTGCTCGTTTCCTCTTTTTTTCCATCTATTTTTCTGTCTGTTTTCCTGTCTACATTTCCTGACCAGATCTCACCCTGTTTGACCTTCATGTCAGTCAAACTCTCACCAACTTAAATGACAAAAATGACAATGCATTTTTCTCTCTTTCTCCCTGCATTTCTCACTCACTGTCACTTTTACTTCTTCTCTCATTTCTTTGGAGTTTAGATGGCTCGGTCATGTCAGTCTGGTGTCTATGTTAAAGTGCAACTGGTTTAAAGGAAAACTTCACTGCCCAAATGACTATTTTTATATCAGTTTCTCACCCTGTGTTACACTGAATTGGCAAAGAAATTTTATTTTTCTTGCATGTTTCCGATCAACAAAGAATCCAAGAATAGAAAAAATTGATGATGAATTGAAGTCATAGGCGAAGGCATTTAATAACATTCAAACTAGGGCTGCCCCGTAATGGTTGATCAAATGTTAGTTGACCAGAAAGATAATAAGTTGGCAAGATTTTATTGGTCGCTTGCTTGCAGAAAAATAAAAACAAAACAAAAAAAAGTGCCAAACTCTCTCACCTTATCAAAATAAATCAAAACCTACATGACTGGACCATGTGGGACTTTAATTTGAAAGGATAGACACAGGAAGAGGCCACACTCAGCCGTCAGAAAGGAGTCATGTTTATTTACAGGGCTGGTACCCGTGCTTATTACACAGGTTAGTTAATAACATGTCGGGCAGGAAATCCAAAGTGTGGGATCATTTTGAGAAGGTGAAGGACGAACCCAAGGTGATATGTAAACTCATCTTCATTGGTCGACTACAAACATGACGTATCATCTGAAACATGTCAGTAGCTACATGCCCATTAGCCACTTAGCACAATCA